TAGAGAAGCTAGTGGGTTTTTCTATGGGTACGAAGCTGTCCGAAGTAAGGTCAGAATGGAAAAAGCACCAAGTTCCGCCTGGTCCAAAACAGCCACAATAATGAACACGGAATTCAGAAGAATGGTAATACGAAGGACTTACGCAGGCAGCCACACTTTTTGAGTTCGCAATGACATTTGATTATGATCACAAATATTCCTGCTTTGCTCAAGGTGGCCTAGTTTACACACCATATTGGTGGTCTTTAGCGCAGCAGGAATATTTTTTATCAGAATTTAACGTCATTGTTAATTGAACAAATGTGGCTGTCTGTGCAAGTCCTTCGTGTTTTTATGCTTTTTACTTGTGTGTTCATTATTTCATTTTTTTCTCATGATTTAGTCCTTTTGTTTTTGTTTCTTATATGTTCATTATTTTATTTTTTTATTTTTATGAGGTTTTAGTAAAAGATATGATGCCCTCGTCATTTCCTAGTCCGGGAAACAGTGGTGACCTCGTCGTGTTCAAGGAGCAGTATGATCTTTTCATCTTGTATTGCTTCCGCGGCGAACAACTGTGTCTGTGTGCGTGTGTGACGTGTTAATTACACGGGAAGATTTGGCGACCGAACGGAAAAGCAAGGCCAGCGAGCAGCGACTGGGGGCTTTGTACATATCACACAGTGCAAGGAAGGACTTCAACGACGAGGCTAGCAAGGAAGCCCTTGTCAAAACTGCTGTGCTCGACCGGAGAGTTGAATCAGGACTGTGACTGTGAGTAGGAATCAACGACTTTGAAACTTTCGTATAATTTACAACTTAATTGTTGCCTTCCATTTGTTTTATTTTAATAGGTGTCTTTGTACTATTGCATTTTTAGTCTATTTCAATGTTTGTCTGTGCTATATTACAGTTTTGTTTCTTATCATTTTTTCTTGAATGGTGGAAGTACTTGTTTAGAGTTTTGGCGCTTTTATAAATAAAACTTCTTTTGCAAACCATATTCTCGGTCTGCTCCCTCGACAACCAATCCCGCCAAAGGGCTGTTTACTTTCCGACGTCGAATGATATGTTACAATGTTTCCGAGCTAGCGATCGCCTGCATTCTATATTTATAGCATACATATTTGTCGGAATGGCAGATTCCGAACCAGAGCAATAAGGATTGGTCAGTGGCCTATTCTGTAGATATATCTACGTAAGCACACGTTTGGCAGTGTGGGATAGCAGCAAAATGTATATTATGTGGATATTCATAGAAATGCATTATATGATTCCATGTCTGGACCTGGAAAGTATGGTACCTGCCCCATGGCAATAATTTTCATGTGATGCTAGAAGGAGCATCACGTGAAAATTTCTTTGTATGGGGTGGGTACCCTATCTGCCAGACCCAAACACGGGATCATATAAAGCAGTCTATATATGGTATATAAGGGATTGGGCAGATATGGGTATATAAGGAATTGGGCAGATATGGGTATATAAGGAATTGGGCAGATATGGGTATATAAGGAATTGGGCATATATGGCTATATCCATCCAGATATGGCCTGATTGTGCATATCTGGCCATATCTGCCCAATTCCTTATATATCCATATCTGTATTTTTTAATATAAGTCCAGATATGACATTTCTGTAAGGGCAGGCTGGAGAGGATCCCCCACAAAGCTGCGCCTGCCAAAAGAGCGTTTCCGGAAGCAAGCGATCTTCATATCCTCATCGCACGCCCTGACTTTGTAAATATATTTTTAGACTGTATACCGCGTTGCTCGCGAGGTGTCATTTCCCAAACTTTTTGACGTCGGTGTGTCTTGAAACATCTTGTATTGTTGTACATTTTTTTTCTATAATCCGATAGTGTACGGAAGCGAGCGATCTTTCTCCTCGTCGAAGATCCTGACCTCGTAAATATTTTGGACTGTATCGCGCGTTGCTCGTGAGATGCCGTTTCACAACTTTTTTTTTGCCTCGGATTTGTCTTGAAACTGCTTCTGTTGTACATTTTTTGTGTAAAGTATTTCCAATGATGTCTTTGTTGCGTAGATTGAATTTAAACGCCGTATCTAAATTTATAAGTGTGCGTGTTCTAAGAGCAAATGAGAATAAAAGAAAAATGAAACACCATATCAGTCTCTTCTTTAGCGCGTATGGATGCGACCACACTCCGTTCCATTTTCAACACTACTCCGTTCAGCAGACAGATGACGCTAAAATTAGCGAGAGATGTCACGCGCGCGCGAGAGAGAGTTGACGCCATCTACCAAGCTGACGCAAAAATTAACGACGATTTTCGCACGATATTGCTAACGTTCACCACGTACAAACGGAATTGGCAACTTATCCGCAGAAAGCCCGGACTTGCGCGAGCGTGAAAATACAGATGAGCACGCCTTAGAAATACAGGCAATTCACCTTTTCCGCAAAAGATGTCGCAAGGTCACACCCACGCCGATAGCCCCGAACATATGGCAGTGCTACTTCAAAACTTTACGCTTGGTCTGAACTTAGAGCGGTCCGTGAGCTTCAAAATTTTACCGTCACCCCTCAAAATTAGATGGATACAGCTTGTCACATGTGCTAAGGACCCATCACGTAACGCCCAAATTTACCGGGTCGAAGCTTCTACCACCAGATGTGAGCAATTTTAGCGATGAGCGCTTATAAGTTCTAACCCTAGATGACGCCTATCCCGAAATTCACTGGGTCCAGCACGGTCTGTGAGCTTTTCAAAGTTTACGCTGGAACCCGATATTTAGCAGGGCCACTTGAATGCTTTACGCTGGGGTGAAGATGTAGCACGGCCTGTGTACTTCAAAGTTTTACCGTGACCCCAGCCAAAAATTTAGCGGCACCCAGCTGGTGTTAAGGGAATCTTCAGATGACGCCCAAATTTAGCGGGTCAAAGCTTTCACCACTAAATGTCAGCAATTTTAGCATTTAACTCTTCAAAGCTCTAACACTAGATGGTGTCTATCCAAAAAAAAATTAAAATCAAATCACTGGGTCCGGCATGGTCTGTGTGCTTCAAGACTTTGCGCTGGCCCGCAAAATTACGCAGGTCCACTTCAAAGCTTTACGTTGGCCCAACAATTAACACAGTCCGCCAGCTTCAAAGTTGTAGCGTGACCTCAACCCCAATTTAGCGGCACCCAGGTGGTGCGAATTGGGACCTTTACATGACGCCCGAAACTTATAGCAGGTCGAAACTTTTACCACCAGATGGCACTCAATTTTAACGGGGACCACTTCACAGTTTGAACACTAGATGGCGCCTATTCCCGAGATTCGCTGGTTTTTTTGCAAAGTTTTACGAGCTGGCCCCAAATCTTAGCAGGGCTAGTTTAAAGCTTTACGCTGGACCAAGATATTTCACAATCCGCGAGCTCCAAACTTTTACCGTCACCTCACCCCCCCCCCCCCCCCACCCCAATTGAGCGGGACCCAGCTGCTGCTATTTGGGACCGTGACATGATGCCCAAAATTAGCGGATCGAAGACATCAAAGGCATCAGCTAAGGGGGCGCCACGAGGCTACGAGTCCGCAAGTACCGTTTGAATCGCGCGAAATCACGTGATAAGAAGACGAGCAACGCTAGCGCCCAGCGATGCAAACAATATTACACGACCATCGTCACATAACCTGCGACAATGACGTATCCTGGTTTTTAACCGTGTAGCAAAAGTCAGGTATTAGGAAAACACGTGACCTGATTTGAACACGGACAACTAGGACGAGCTAAGCCCTCTAGGAAGCAATGTGCTTCTAGCTCAGGGGGTGGAGTGTCGGGCGGGCTCCTGTGCACCAGGCAGCGAGGTCGATTCCCAGCCGCCGCAGAGCCTTTTATACCGAATAAAAGTCGTTTAACGCGCAGCGATTCACATATTGTCACGTGACCATCATGTATGACCTCGGCGCAGCGCCCTTTGTCGGATGCAGCACGGACCCTGTGTGACATCACGTGAGCGCCCTCTGTCGGACGCAAGTCGAACCCCGGGAAAATCACGTGGTTGTGAGCGGTGGTGACATCTCTGTACGTGTCTTTCCCACGCTTCTGACACGCGCCGCGTACGTTAACACCTTGTTAAGCATGTGTTAACATGCTTAACAAGGTGTTAAATTGGCTACGTGACCTCACACCTATACCATCCCTATCGAAAAGACCATCAGGAAAATCCTGATGGTCTGATGGAGTCGTATTTTGGGACGTCTGATGGTTTGATGGCCTGATGGTTTGATGGTCTATTGGCCTGATGGTTTGATGGTCTGTTGGCCTGATGGTTTGATGGTCTGTTGTTTTGGTCTGATGGTCGAATGACCTGTCGTATTTTGAGACGCCTATTTTTTTACGGTTTGATTATGGTGGTTTCATGGCTAACTTGAAACAGTTCGAGTTGGCCACAACTTGAAAAACACAACAATATGTGAATGCATAGTCTGGAAACTTAATTATGCCATGCCTGGAGCATGACGAGGTGCATATGCCTCTTAGAATTTAATTATATTGTCCACTGCACACTGGTAATCGCCAGCCCGACATTTGAGTACGGCGAATGCAGCTACTAATAAGAATAAAGTCAAACAAGCTGCATTGCTTTGATATTTTTATTATGAAGTTATGAAATCATACATTGTTTCGCTGGGCGGAATGGCTAGGTGGTACAGAAAAACCAGAAACATTTGAGGAAGTACTATTGTGACCAATATTAGTTGAAGCGCCATGACGCTTGGCGTGTGGTACTATCAGAGCCACCTGTCGGATTTTCAGTGAACCTCTGTGTTTGCTGAGGTTTAGGCAGGTTGCTTCTTGCACTCATTGTGCCACTATGAGCTGAAAATTGACACGGAACGGCATAGTGGTGCAACGAGCACAAGAAGCGATTTGTTTCTACCTCAACGCATACCAAGGTTTGCTGAACAATCTGAGAGACAACTCTCATCGCGTGCCACGTGCAGTGGTGTTTCAGCTCATATTGGCTGCGATAGTACATCTGTTCCATTTCAATAGTATTGACAATATATAAATTAAGCTAAATTAATAAGAAAAGGGTAAAAAGGCTACAACATGGGGTGCAAGCGATGGCAGACCTGCAACAGCATGGGCAGTCCGTGGTGGGACCACGCATCGGGGGAGGACAGGCAGCAAAGGGATGAGCCTGGACATATCAAGGGCAATTCAGAGATCAGCAATGAGTCCAAACACAGGACGACCATTGACATACGTAAACAGCAGAGTGGGCCTAGAGACGACTAAGGGGCAGTAAGAGTGACGTGCTTCATTTTAATTGTGTGACCATGCAACTTTTTGGAGAGTGAGCGAGCACGGCCTGATGGGATGGCAGTAGCGACCAAGCGACCCACAGCCTTTTTCAAGTGGTCAGCTGATCAAAAGACTACTTTAAAGTTGTTTGCATAAGCATTTAGATATATTAACCTCTAAATAATTTATTTGTACCATCACTTAAAAAAATTGCTTGTAAACTTGAGACCCAAAATAGTATATTACTTAATTAAGGAAGTTAGAGTATAGATGCACATACCTTTGTAGTGATTTCTCTTGAGATTGGACAGCTTTTCTGACAGGTACCGCCGTATCTTCTGGTGCCGGGCTGCCCTTTCAGCCTGGCGGTACCTTTCTCCCTCAGGTGTAGTCAAAAGCAGCCTGGAATATTGAAATTCCAGGGTAATTATTTTTTGCAGTGCTCAGATTTAAAACAATATAGAATGTCATAAATACAGGCTGGAGGGTCATAGTTTGAGAAGACCAAGGGTAAATTAGTCTCAAATAAAAGCAATTAAGTGGCAGCTGGCACCTAACAAGCCTTCAACGTTTCTTAGTATTTACAGTGTTCAGAGATCACCATGAAAGCAAAAGTACCGTAGTATCCTGATTTATGTTCCACTCCCAATAGACAGCTCACCCTGGCTTCTGTTAGATTCTTTTAAGCACAAAACAGGTAGCCCATGTCTATAAATCTCACTGCTAGGCTAGTGACCTTGTAAGAAATAGGAGCTACAACTGTAGATAAGTAGACAATGTACGTTGGAAACTGCTTATACTTGGTTATCATCCCTCGCTGTGGTAACAGCTTAGACACGCCACAGAATTAAAAAAATAGCATCATGAGCACCAGAAAGAACAATGCAGTTCTATATAAAAACAATCTTTCACATTCCTTGAAAGATCTTCCATTCATGGCCTGGCTCTAAATTTAAAGGTAATTAAACAGTCTTTCAATGTGCACCTGGTGGAGGCCTCTGAAGCTTCGTTGGGAGGTAATCTAGCAATGTTGGGGATCTTGGACGTAGTCGTGACATGGCGAAAACCGCTATGTAGCTGTACTACACATCGAAGCAGCGCCGCTGTTTGGAGGTATACTCAACTGTTGGAGTAATCTCGCCCTGAACGCGATGACCTTGACATTACTTATCTCACACATAGGCGCTTAGACGGCTTAGTCCGCTTTGGTCCACGTAAAGCCCACAGGTGTTTCAAATGGCTAGGCTGTAACACGTCTACACCACCACTATGCACCCGAACGGCACAGCTCGTAGCCACGCCAGCTTTGCCGGATAGCCCACGACGCATCGGGCTCTCCGTTGACTTCTCTTCGAGCACTTGCTCGAGTTTGTTGCTTAGAACGAAAAATAAAATTATCTGTTCAAAATACAAATGTGCGATTATTTACGGTTATTATCTGTTATGATTGACTCATTCTTGGCGGGGTACCCCCATCACATGTCCAGGTGTTAGCAGACAACCTACTAGAGTAAAATCTCAGTGATAGTAACTGGTACGAATTCCGGAATAAAACAAATTAACAAATTCCCCGGCCGAAGTGCATTGTATACGACGTGAAAATTTTTGGGTGTTCCGAATTCTTCTACGCGCTGCGACGGCTGATACAAATGTGTGCTCCACAACTGATAGTGGCAAGGAGGCCACGATCGGTGACTGTAAGCTTTCAAGGCCCCGGGCGGCTGATTGCCTGTTGCTGCCAGGGATCAGCCGCACTTTACCCAAAAACTGGAGCTCAAAATTACATGCATGTTACAATCGGACCCAAAAACAACAAAAAAAATGCTAAAAAAAAACTGTGCAAAGTGGCCAGCCCCATTACCATCAACACATGTTTCAAATCCAATCCAATCTGAATCCAAAATCGTTTTTTTGTTTTTGCGATCTCGTGGAATGGTGTTTCAAGCTTGGAAAAGCAAAACCGATTTTACTATAAGGTTACCTCTAAAAAACAAAGTAACTGCGTTGGCAAAAACAGTAAACCGTGTGATGTTGTTGGTGTCTTCGGTGTGGTCCACGGTGACATGCGAGCTTGGTTGGAAAGACAAAGAAACCGAATTTTTGCTTGCAAGTTTTTGATGTAGGGCTTCAACAGCACATAGTGTGGGCACTTTCCAAGTATGTGCATTTGATAAAATGTTTTCCACAAAGTGTATGTTGTTCAGCCGTCATTATTTTATCTGCGAAGTAGAATCGACATTTATCTGCGCAGTAGAATCGACATTAATTCATTTTTTCAACATTCGTGGGTTGATTATAACCGTGTGTTACTATCGGGGGCGTGTTAGAATCGTGTAAATTGCATACAAGATATTTTCTGCCATAAATAAATGCACATTCATGCATTCCTTGTGTTTCAAAATATAAATTTTGTTTCTCTTTCGTTGATACGAATTTAGCATGAAATATTTTACGCGACTCCGCAAGATTCATATCAAGATTTTAAAAATGTTTGCTTAATGAGAGAGCTTGCACCTTGCGCTGAGTGGGCAGGGCAAACGCCTTCTCTTGCCTCGCTGCCTTTGCCTTGTTGGAGAGGGTGCCGGTCACCGACATCTCCAAAATCACTTCCACTCACCCTATGGAAGCAGCGGTGATCTTGCAAAACATGGAGTCGCACTCTGCTTTCCGCATGTTGCCCGCATTCCTGGTTGACGTGCACACCTTGCCCGACATGGATCTGTTATAAACAAAAGCGAGAAACAGCTTCACATATACCAGTCGTTGACGTAGAGTGGTACTGTATACTCCAAGATGCATTGAAAACGCACTAAAATGATTACATTAATGAAATTTAGGCCTTTAAATTTAAGACAGCACTACACATGAATTCCTATCTTCATGGGCGTCTGCGAAGCTGATGGGCCTACAAAGCTTTATGGTATCTGCATGAAACAGCTACATAATCCCTTAGTTGCATCAGGTGAGCATGACAACATAATGTTTTCCGGGCACTGGCTGTAACTACAATTAAGAGCCTGGCTACAATAATGTTTTAATGACTTCTTGTTTCAATCGATTCAATCTACTGTGCTTACATTATCTCAGGAGTGGCCAAAGTGAGGCTCGCGGCTCCCTGGAAAACGTGTCCCCTAGACGAAAAGGGTTCTAGAATTTAGAAAGAGCTTCAAGTCTTGGCAGCCTGGCAACACACTACATATATACACCTGGAATGCTTTTTGCCACATAGATGCGTCGAGTGACCCTGTTTCCTTTATTGTTCTAGAAAGACTTTCAACCGTATACGCATAACAGTTGTCAGGGCCAGTGACTGGCTAGTGAATCGTGTATTAATTTTTGCTTAGCAGTGGAAAGGACCTTCTGATGCATAGTGTCATTTGTTGTTATCGCCCATTATACTTGTCCTCTATGGACCCGAAGGAAAAATCCATCAATGTAACCCTGCTTGGCAGTCAGTGTTTTCTAGTGGACCGCTGACTGTGCCTAACTGTACGTCAAACATGTCTGATTGGCCAACAAGTTACTCTGACCGACAGTCAAACTCCAGTCAGACTCCACTTGTCGGCTTTCTGATGGTTTCCTGGTGGCAGTCGGCCGCCGCGAAATGCCATCAAGATGTCTTGGTGGCGATTCTGATTGTACATCGATTGGCTCTGACTGTACGTCAAAAAGCTTTGACGTGCAGACAGACATACGGTCAAAGGACGTAAAGTTCGTTCGGATACCACTATTTCGTCAAATCTATGAATACGGAAAATAGTCTATGCACAAGAAAACGATTTCGGGACGTGAGCCCATAAAACCGCTGATGTTAGAGATATGACACGCAGCCGACCGACAACCTTGATCAGAAGCCCGCCGAAACGCCGAAAACGCATCTTCGCTGACTTCGGTTCGCCCATAGGGGCTTCGCCGAGCTTTCATGAACGATCGCTCCCGACTCGTTTTGTTTGCCCGCTTGCTCCAACCTGTCGATCCTGCCCGGGCTCTACAGTGCTTTATGTTTTAGTAGAATTTCTACTCGACAAGACCCAGCCCGTTGTGAGTTCCGACGATGTAAGGGACTTTAGCGGTGTAGTTGAAGACGACAAGGTGTACAGGTCTACTGGGCCGGAGGCGCGCGAACAAAAGGATCGTTCTACGGCGCGGAAGTACTCTACATGGCAGGTGAGTAGAACTGAAGAACGGCGAGTGATGTACCAGTGCTTTGCATAACATGCTGAAGTCTTAACTCATTTGCAACCGAAGCATCTCGTATAAAACGGATGGTGAAATCGAGTTCTCCAAGAATCGGCGTGGCATAGCGGTTACGGTGTCCGATTTGTACGCAAGTGGTCACGGGTTCGATCCGCGGTAGTGCTGCTTTTTTTTTCTTTTTTTTTTTTTTTTCTCGAACATTTTGTTTTATCGAGGCATTTGGCGATATGTATGAGTGCGTATAGCTTTACTCTTATATAAATGCTGCCCTTGTTGATGAAATTCCCTTGGCAGTGGCAGTCAGACGTCATCTGATAGACCATCAGATGACGTCTGATGGTCCATCACGTTCCACCAAGGCTGCTGACTGGCAGTCAGTGTCCCAAATTACGTACCTTGATGGAATTTTCAATAGGGGAAATAACTGTTCCCTCCATATTGTTTCTTGTTAAAAGAAGCACCCCCCCACTTTCTTTTTTCCAGCGACTCTAAACTTTCGTAGTTTTGTCTGCGGCTCTAACTCCATGTCACTCTGGCCACCCCTGCACTATCCTAAACTCTTTTAATGTATATTATACACTGAATGAAAGTGAAAAGTTTTTCTATTTTACCATTCCTCCCTTTTCTGGAGGCCGATGCTAGGGTCCACGATCTCATTCTTTCCAAGGATGTCCTCGTCAGCAACTGAAAAAAACAATTTCACATTAAAGATGTACAGAAACCAAATTCCAGCGCTCATTTTATCGCTTTAATGAGTTGCAAGTTGCAACATAACCTCAAAAATACCAGTCCTTTGCTGAAGGGCAGAAGCAAACTAATTTTAAAGCTAATCAAACAATCTTTCAATGTGCACCTGGTGGATGCATGTGGAGCTTATTTGGGAGGTAATCTAGCAACATCGGGGAACTTGCTACGTAGTCATGACGTAGGAAGGACATTCCTCAGTCATTCTTCTCAGCAACAGAGCGCAGCCACAACAGTAGAGTAGAGAGCTCTTTGCCGTTTATGCCTTCTTTCTCAGCATTATTGTTTCCACCCTTTATGAATGAATATCCTCTATGCAAGATATAAGCCATGTGTTGTATATGACATGTTCGGCTCTATCACCGCACAGCAAACTTCTTTCATATACTGCAGGTTCATTAAAAAAGTTACCTTTTTAATGCTAAAGCATGGGTTCTGTTACTACGGTAAACATATGAGTACCCAGAGGTCAGGCCATAAATGACTTACGTGTTAGGCAGTAGGGCCCTACAGCACCTCCCGCATCAACAGCCGAGCCGCAGGTAGTCCTGCAATTGATAGAGCAGGGTAAGTCAGAGAAAGGTGTTTCTAGCAGCTCTGCCGGTGTGCCCCCTAGCAGCATTCTCACGCACATTGGGGTGTAGGCAGAAAGCATGGCATTCCTCATCAACGGATGGATGGATGGATGGTAATGGCTATACCATTTGTATCGGGCGGCAGCTTGCGCCACCTAGCCTAACATTTCGTCATCCCTTCTACTATTTTTTTTGTATGAATTTTGCTATAACAGTTCCCCCTCTCTTTTAAATTGAATTTATTTCATATGTATTTGTTTTTTTTATCCTTCCCTAGATCTCTTCCACCAATCCTCCAATCTCCTCTTAGTTATCGCAATTCTTTCCCTATCCATTCGTCCATTCATGTCCGGAAAACCCAGCGCCCCCTCCAAATCCGTAGTCATCCCCCCAAGAGGGTGGGACGAAGCCCCGTGCACCTTAAAATTAGATGTTCTATAGTTTCCCTTTCGCGGTTGCATACGTCACACAGAGTGTCTACTTCCTGAAATTTAGCCCTATACGTTTTCGTTCGCAGCACCCCCGTTCTAGCCTCAAAAAGCAAAGAGCTCCGCACTGAATTATCATACAGCTATTCCTTCTTTATTTCTTGTTTTTGTGCCCTGTATATTGCTAAAGCTGATTTCCCCTGCATTGTCTCTTCCCACAATTTCCTCTCTGTTTCCTTTACTCCCTTTTCTACTGTTATGCTCTGATCGGCTCCATCTCGTTGAATGTATTTAAATCTCAGCTTGCGGGTTCGGTTTGTCCACCTAGTGTTAAGACTTTTCATATATAGATACTTGTACACTTTCGCTGCCCACCGTGTATCCTCAATTTCAGCTAGTCTTTGTTCAAATTTTACTTTACTGATCGCTTCTCTACTCTCGAAAGATGCCCAACCCATATCCCCCTGTACTCCCTCATTTGGTGTATTCCCATGTGCCCCCAATGCCAACCTACCCACACTCCTTTGCTGTATCTCTAAACCTGCCTGAATTTCTGACCTCATACACAATACCGCATTCCCAAATGACAGTCCTGGCACCATGACTCCCTTCCATACACCCCTAACAACTTCATATCTATTATAGTTCCATAGTGCCCTCTGTTTCATGATAGCCGAATCTCCTTTCCCCTTCTTTATTACAATATCTTCATGGTCTTTTAGATACCGTCTTCCTGCACTTAACCATACTCCCAGATATTTGTACTTTTCTACGTGTTCTATTAATGTGTCCTGTATCTCCAGGGGCTCCCCCTTCTCGTAGTTGAAAACTATTATACCAGACTTGTCTCTACTAAATTTTAGTCCTAAATTGTCCCCTTCCCTGCTGCAAATTTTAATCAGTTCCTGTATTGTCTCACGACTTTCTGATATGAGTACAATGTTGTCTGCATACATTAACCCTGGCAATACTTGATTTACTTCATGTCCTTCCTCCATGTAAGTCAGGTCAAAACCTAGGTTGCACCGTTCTAAACTTTTTTCCATCTCACTGAGGTATATCATAAAGAGCAAGGGAGACAATGGGCAACCCTGACTAAGACCCTTTTTATTGCTGCTGGTCTTGTATTTTCTGCTTCCCACGTTATAACCACCATATTCTCCCTATAAACCCATTCTAGAAACTTAACCATGGTTCCCTTAAGCCCATATCCCTTCAGTTGGTTCCAGAGTTTTTTACACAAATCATGACAACACATTGTTGCCGGCATCAAACTGGATCCCTGTGCTATTTTTCTTCTTTTTTTTTGTGATTTAGTTGATTCTTTGTCTTTCTTGTCACTCCCGACTGCTTTACTGGCCTTTGTGAAATAAAGAAGGCTTGGTAAACTGCAAAGCCTTGACTGAGTGGTGAAACAGAGCAGTCCCAAGGAAGTATAAATGTTAAGGACTCGACATTACATTACGCAGTGTTGGGATTCCCAAGCTGCTTTCCACACTCACATTTTGTGCACGACCAGCTCTCTTTCTGCATCAGTTGGATTGGTCAGTCGTGTGCCCGTTTCGTCGCTGCTAGCCATATGTGGCTGGCGCTGCTTTTCAGAGCCTTGCAACATCGTCACTTTCAGCTTTTGTCCTGACATAAACCGCATCTAAAAATTTAATTAGCGCTAAGATTTAGCTTTTGGACACTCCCAGAAAAAATAGGCCGCACCACATTACATAGACAGGTAATGATATTCTGGTGACAAAATTTCCACAAAAACTGCTTTGCGTTAGAGGGCACAAGGGCTGACGTTCCTGGGAGGAGCGGATTTGTGTGAACTTGCAGATGCTTCAGCTGCCTGTTTGCGCCAGGCCAGTTCAGTTGCCATTTCCTCTTGGGTTTCTTGTAGGTACAGTCGGGGACAAAAGTCTCCAGGACACGCAAGCTGCGACTGAAACGCATTCCTCTGCCGGCGGGTCGCCTGGTTTCGAGATCACAGAAGGGCGCACGTGCGTCCTATTGTACCTGCCAACGTGTGCGCTTTCCCGCTCTGCTGCGGCACGGCGCCTAACTCGGAATCGGGCGCGTGGTACCACTTCGGAGATAGTGCTTACTGACATGGCACCTATAAAGCAAGAAGTCATGGCAGCTCAATTAAGCGATAAGCTGAACTGGTTATAAAGCAAGGTGCGCTGACACGACGAAATGCGGCGCAATGCCCCAGGCGGTATCTCGAGTTTTGGAATGTATAGCAGACGCTCGTCAGCCGCCAGCGCTATCTCCGAGGCAGTACCATGTGCCCGATTCCTAGTTAGGTGCTGTGCCGCAGAAGAGCAGGAAACGCACATGTTTGCAGGCAGAGTAGGACGCACGTGCGCTTTTGTGTGATCTCGAAACCAGGCGACCCGCCGGCAGGTGGCAGAGCAATGGGTTTCAGCCGCAGCTAGCACGTCCTGGGGACTTTTGTCCCCGACTGTACATTTGTGATCATGAATAAATAAATTGGTCAGGAAGCAATGGCAGCTGATGCAACATCAATGCAAGCCATGTATTATATGACTCGCATGAATTGACATTGAATCAGCCACGATTGTGCGCCTAAGTTTGTGCTGCGGAGCGCAAGAGTTTGGCGCTCTGTTCATTAAATGGACAGAAGCGCCACCAAAGGACTGACACTCAAGCGTGCTCTTTTTGCACCGAGTATTTCTCGAAGTGCAAGTCATTTCTTCGCGCTGACAGAAACGTCGCCGAGACGGGGAGTGCAGTGGATCGCTGCCTCATTTCAGTTAAAGAATGCTTAACCCAGCGAGTAAAATGATTTGATTTCAAAGCCAGGACCATTGCGGAAAAGGTTTGTTCCCGAATCTCACCTGAAAACGAATTACCCATCGAACAGTAGCGTTATGATGGTACAGCGACAGAAAAGTTGTCGAGATGAGAGGACAGTCCGATCGCTGCCCTTTGTAGAATGCACAGCCCTGCGAATAAAGATACTTCGATTGGAAAGCGAAAACGTTGCGGAAAAAGTTTGTCCATGCATCTCGCCTGAAAACTAACTAATGTGCTATTTATTGAACTGTGGTGTGCCGGTATTGGAGTAGCACATCCACAGGTTCCGTCTCGCGCTGGAAGACGGAAACCCAAGATATCTGACAAGTTTGAGAGTTTCTTGTTTTGACAAGCGAGTTCAAGAATGTTGTCTTTCATTTGAATCTAAACAGTATGCATGGTCAATAAATAGATCGGTCAAAGTAACATTCAGCATATATGGTCGAAGCGAGTCTTCAAACCTTTCACAAATATTAAAACATTCGTAAAAATTTCCTAACGTCGCCGCGCATTTCTTTTTTTTTTTTTTTTTGAGGGGGGCTTTTATTTGACCATTTTATAGAGCCCTTAATTAATTCATCTTCAAAATAATTTTGGCATCCGCGAGATGCTGGGTTCGTCATAAAACTGCGGTGGGAAGTGGCTCATACAGCTCGCCGACAGCTTCGGTGTGTTGCGCTACTGTACGCTATGCTTCGTTTAGTTGCTGCGCTCGGAGTGTGAAACTCGGAACGGCGGAGTACGAGTAAATTAGCGCGGACTTAAGGCACAGGAGCAATGGCGGCTTGCAGGGTGCCATATGATGTCACGTGCAAGGCAGTTCAGTCCACACGCTCAACTGAAGTATTAGCCCATGCATTCATCTGCCTAGCTTGGTACCCCATATAAGCAGCCTACAATATTCACTTTTAATTACAGTCGCAATAAAAAAGAAAGAAAACGGCGATTGCTTGTGGCTACGTCGCACTTTGGGATGGTAAAAAATACACACTCACCCGTCAGTTCGAGGATCTCGGCGTCGTAATAGCCTCCTCGAGTGTTCGCGTCGCCGTCCCAAGACACCTTGTACGCCGTCCTACGCTCGAAGTCGACCACATTCGAAGGACTGCAGTTTTTTAATTAAGGCCTGTGGACGTCTCTTATTTCTCCGTTCTCGCAAAATCGAGTGAAACCTACCGAAATATCTAAAACCTCGAAAACACTCCACGAGGAAGGGTGAGGCTGGCGAGGCAACAAAGCGCACGAAACAACTAGATTTGGATTTGGATTCGAAGCTTTTGAAGACGCAGTTGCTCGAACGGATATAAGCGGCGAGCGTTTTTCAAAATATAAAGTATACATTAAAATTAACGGATCGTCGAGTGTCGAACACTGCGTATGAACTTGAATGAGTACATTTTTGAGAGAAATATGTCAAGTGTCAACACTGCGTGTAAAGAAACTGGCGCCGCAAGTAGCCGATGCGTCGGCAGTAGCGGATACATTAAAGGGAAAGACTAATTCATATTGTACGCCACCCTCGACAGTCCTCCGCCCGTGGCGCAGGGGTAGCGCGTCGGCATACGGAATGAGAGGTCGCTGGTTCGACTCCCCCCCCGGGAGAAGGAAAAAACTTTTTTTTTTGTGCGTGTTTTTTTTTTTTTTTTTATTAGATCTATGATGGTGGCGGTGGTGTTGAAAACTTTAATTCAGTCTAAAACCCCTGCGAAGCTGCTTCATTAACGACCGCCCTGGTCCAAAAGGGTTCTAGCGCAGCTGAATACTGAATAATGCAGGTTTTTCCACCTTTCGTGTCGCCGGTTTTAGCACCTTTCGTGACTCGACGTGTTTCCGCTCAAGAACTTTTAAGGTCGTCTGAACGACGAGACATATAAGGCTTTTCCTTAATAAAAAAAATCACATCAACCCATTGGCCACGCGGCTGCGGCCCATCATATATCATACGCGAGATTCAACGACAGCTTTTTAGAGCGCAGCTCTTAGGGGCCCGTTTCCAGCCTGAGCGGCGTCGGCGTCGCCGTTGGCGTCGCCGTTGGCGTCGGCGTGACCGCGCCCCTCCCTCTCCTCCTCCTCCCCTCCTCCTCCCCTTCCTCCTCCTCCCCCTTCTTCTCCTCCTCCTCCCCTCATTGTGTAGTATGGTCCGGGCGGGTCACGTGACCTCGGGGGGAGGGGGTCACATGACCCGTTTCCAGCCTGTGCGGCGTCGGCGTCGGCGTTGGCGTCGGCGTCGCCCCTCCCCCTCATCCTCCTTCCCCTCCGCTCCTCCTCCCCCCTCCTCCCCCGCCAAGGTCACGTGACCCCGGGGCGCGACTCCCCTCCCCCCGCCGAAGTCACGTGACGGCCCGCCCAAGGTCATGTGATTCCGTCCCCTCGAGGTCACGTGACCCCCCGGACCTCTGCCCTCCTCCTCCTCCCCCTCCTCCTCCTCCCCTCATTGTCTAGTATGGTCCGGGGGGGTCACGTGACCTCGGGGGGAGGGGTAAAGCCGAGGGAGGGGGAGCAGGAGGAAAGGAGGACTAGCAGGCATGATCACGAGGGAGGAGGAGGAATATACCCTCCACTCCTCCTCAGGAGCTGCGCTCCAATTCGGCGTTACAGGAAGTTGTAAACGGCTTTCACTTTTTTATCGCGACATAGCCTCAAATCGCCTATTTTGTAGCGTGCAAAGTTGCGGAGCCTCCTCGACTTTGGGCCGCTCATTCAGCGAGGCGGTGGCGCATTCCCCCGACTATTTAACCTTCGAGCAAAGTAAAGCAAAGCAATGGCCGCGTGGTCTGTTTGCAAGCTGAACTTAATTGCCGCCGCGACCGTCCGATGCGCACAACGGTTGCGGGGCTCGGGGGGTGCCGTGTCTATAAAAATTAATGTGTCGACGAAAAGTCTGTCCACCTTCCGTTGGTAATGAAAGGCGTAGATGAAGCATATGCGAAACGATGAACCCTACCGTGAGCACGGGTTTCCACGGTGCGTGATTGCAGACGAACGCACAGTTGCCGGTGAATCGGGGACTCAGTGAGTAAAGACAAATCGCGTGACATAGTTGTGTCAGCACCTCGCGAGCCCGCGACTCATCACATGCTGGCAAATATGTCGCGACCCATATTTCAATTGTTATTAAACGCCTCTGACGGCGCCGTCAGGATACAGCGAGCAACAAATAATGAAGCACTTTTGATAAACATTGTTCGCAAAGAAAGTCCCAACGGCCGGGAAATAAGGCGCTTTTGATGGAACCGAAGTGAAACATAAAACTTCTGACGACCATTAGACCACCTCTGACAGCCCATCAAGAGTGTCCAACAGACCATTAGGCGCCGTCAGGAACTTCTGACGGACCATCTAAACGCATCTGATGGTCCATCAGGACAGTCGAATGGTGCGTCAAGAATGGGCTGATGGTCCATCAGACTTTCTTGATGGTCCATCAGACCTTCTTGATGGTCCATCAGACCTTCTTGATGGTCCATCAGGAAGCCTGATGGGCCATCAAAGAAGTCTAATGGTCCATCAGGACAGTCGGATGGTGTGTCAAGAATGGGCTGATGGTCCATCAGACTTTCTTGATGGTCCATCAGACCTTCTTGATGGTCCATCAGGCAGCCTAATGGGCCATCAAAGAAGTCTAATGGTCCATCAGGAAAGTCAGATGGTCCGTCAGGAATGGGCTGATGGTCCATCAGGAGTGGGCTGATGGTCCCTCAGGAGTGGGCTGATGGTCCCTCAGGAGTGGGCTGATGGTCCCTCAGACTTCTTTGATGGTCCATCAGGAAACCTGATGGACCATCAGAAAAGTCTGATGGACCATCAAGAAACTCTGATGGTCCAACAGGAAAACCTGATGGTCTTTTCGATCGGGATGTACGTGACTCCAGGGCGGGACCTCGATGAGCTTCCATTGGTCACTGGCTATTGCCCTGTGGGCGGGGCCATCCATGCCTACGACCTGTCATTGGTCACTCGGATGGGAGAGGGGGCAGGGGCCCCGCCCTACTGCTCTGTGATTGCACGGATTGGGTTTCGCCCCGCCCTGCTGCAATGTGATTGGTCGGATCGGGTTTGGCTGCGCCCTCCTGGCCGTACAGTGACAGGTGTGAGAGCTGGTGCACATTTACTACTACTTCGACATCGGAACCCGTGTCCATCTTGAAATTCACTGGGTTGCCGCTGACGTCGACAGTCTCAAGCCAGTCGGAGGGGGAATCTTCTCCGATGTCTTCTCCGTTGGCTGCCCAGAGCAAAATCTTGAACAGTCGCCTCTACGTTCACGTCTAGAGTTCGGACGTATCGCGGTGCCACTCGCTGTTCCTGTCGGCATAGCTTTGCAAAATGTCCAAACTTGCCACAGGCGTAGCATGTTGATCCATAGGCGGGGCACTGTCGGGGCAGGTGAGTGGTTCCACACCTACTAAAACTTTTCTGGTGCTTGGCGTCTCTATGTTGCGGATGGTTGCTTTTTTGTTGATGCTGCGGCTATTTTCTCGGTTGTTGTCTGTTTTCCTGTCGCTGTCTTCCAGAGTTCAAGTTGTCGACCGTCGTCTCATGTCTATCCGAGGTCGTCAACAGCGAAGATACATGCTGCTTTGAAATTTCAGCCGCTCTGCACGTCATCATGACCTTTCGAGAGTAAGGTCTCTTTTCCGAAACAGCCGTTCTCGCAAAGCTGTGTCGCGAATTCCAATGATTTTCCTGTCACCTAGGAGGCGGTCGTGCTGGTCGCCAAAATCGCATTTCCTCGAATGGCCTTGTAGCTCAGCGATGAAGTCGTCAATCGGCTGACTTTTTTTGGTACATAGAGTTGAAAATAGCTGCTGCCTGCGTCACGTTTTTCTACGGCAGATACTTCTCATCGAATTTCGCAAAAATAGCAGCCACCGTGTCTGTTGGAGGCTCACCTGTTGCTGGAGCTAGAAAGGCGAATGTGTCGACAATTTTCCGTGCGGCTGGGCCGATGACGTGTAGCAGCAGCGCTCGCCTGGTTGCGGGGCGCTTGGCTGTATATTCACCGGCTGCCTCGTAGAGTTCACATGCCTTCTTCTATTCCGACCACGTTTCGGCGGTGTTGCTGCCTGGTTCAAACGGCTTTGGCGGTTGGATGAGGGGAAATGCCATGGTGATACCCTCGGTGCTTTACTGTAGTTGGTTCGGGGAGTTGCCGAGTTGCGAAATTTTAACTTCTGACACCATGTTATGTCTTGATTGTCATGGATTGAATTCGACACATGTGTTCGTTCTGACGGGCCGCCATTATGTGTGTCAACCAGCACGGCTAGGCCTGACCTTTATTGAAGACGGCAAACCGCCACCGAGAGGGCGCTACTAAACATATTGATATATAACACTCACTAACTCATTTTACTTGTTCCACTTGTTCCAAGGTGTCTAACACCATCAGAGTGGTGTTGCTGTAAAAAGCTTAGGGCATTACTTGAACTGCAAGAAATATACTGCTCGTGATCCTAGCAACCTTTTGAGTTTTTAGTTTACAACCCAGTTTTACCAGAACGAAGCACAACACACCACATCACACGGACAGATATTAAAAAATACACGTGAATCATAATTACGATTTACAACCTTCTTGGCTACCCCACCGGAATGCCTACGCGGTACAGCAAAATGACTCATTTGCAGGTCATGTTCTCCGCAACTGCGAAAGCTACAAGCATGTTGCAGTGTTATAGATAGTCTTCGGAGAAACAACGGATATATCAGAGCTCCATGAGCGCATTTTCATGTAAAACGAATGGTATAGGCATCAAATATGCGGTAAAACAACCTCCGCTAATACATTTTGATCCGGATATAAGTAAGGCGAAAACACTTCCAAAAGATCGTTTGCCACACCTTACACATTTTCTACACTCTTTCTACAACCTCCCTAATTGAAGGCGCTTCATGGGCCAGTACCCTATTTCCCGATTAAAATACGTGCATTTCTCAAAAGGAGGGCGCTAAATGGTTGTAGTTGTAGGTGTAAAACCCTGGGACCCCTCTTAACACGCTCAGATGTATAAAATTTTAGTGTGTAGCCGGGCAGCATTACATGAAAGGCTGATAATATAGGGTGGTTTACAAAAGGTCGGGGCCCCTACGAAAAATTCGCATCGCAAAAAAAAAAGTTCGATATCATTTAGGCTTTTGCCGTAAGGCCTATTCTAGCGCACCGCTTGCCCGCAGATGGATATTTATATAGAGTAAAAGACTTGAA